CCGTATATTGTATGTCACTAAACTACCAAACGGCTGGACCGATTTCGTTCATATTTTGAACATATGTCACCACCGTGAATTAAAATATTCCGACTAAAAATTGAATCGCTAGGTGACGCTGGGGTCGGTATATTCCTATAAATTGCATTTTTTTACAGATTTGGCTCATATTTAGAACATATGTAAGCCAATTGAAAATAAATATTTGGACTAAAAAATTTACTAGATAGGTGACATTGAATGATAGATATCTATACACAATGTGGTATAATATGTTGTTGAAACTTGGCATTAATTATAAATATCCCACTTATGGTGAAAAGTGGTAGGCATTGGAGAAGGGCGCGTGCACCTCTCATAAAAACTTAACTTCTCATACCGCATATCTCTGGAACCGCTCAACCTAACGTCCTGAAATTGGTCACAACTACATATGTTATCAACAGGGCCGAAAAGTGTAAGCTTTTGCTTATAATTGCTTATTTTACTTATTCAAGGTTTCCAGGCTTAATTTTACCCACCATGCTTATTTCTTTCAGAAAACGGTCAAGAAATAAACTGCTATTATTTCGTGTGTGTGTGTGTGTGTGTGTGTGTGTGTGTGTGTGTGAATAGTAGGGTCCAAGGAGTTTTGACATCTGATATTTTACACTAAGGAGTTCAAGGATCCTTATGTCACTTAAGTTCTGTTTACCTCTGTAGTAAGACCGATTTTGGAATATGCATCTTTAGTATAGAATTCTAGTTATCAAATTCATAGTGATAGGCTCGAATAAGTGCAGAAACAGTTCCTTTTATTTGCCCTAAAATATTTACTTTACAAATCTCCCACCCTACAAAGATCGGCTGAAGCTTATGGATTTGCCGACGCTTCAGAGTCGTAAAGCGATGCTTGGGGTTCTATTTTTAATCAAGCTAATCAACGGAATGGTCCGTAGTCACTTCCTACTGAATGAGATAAATAACGTTTGGTGCTAAGTATTCGATTAACATTAACAAAAAAGTAGTAAAAGAGGAAATCCACTAAAGCGAGTAAATTATGTATGTATGTATAATAATTGTATGTAGATTATGCGTCGCTTTTATCGGCCTATCAAATTTTTATATTGCGGTAACCGTAGCATCAACACTATTTATTTAGTTTCTTATCAAATATAATAAAAGCTAATGTTTATGCCTATACGTACATACATACTACATATGTACATATACAAATTAAAAAAAATTGTTAGTTGTCCTTCAAAGCGTTTATTGACATTTTCGCAAAACCAGAAACCGAAGGGCTGATATTTTCAACTCGCTTGCGTATGTGCATATGTATGTACATATGTACATATCTATATATGTATATACCTATGCGCGTCAAATTAAATAATATTCGACGATTTTTTTTTTATTTCTTAGCGTGTGTAATAAAAAAAACGTTTATTGCTAAAAAACCACTACAAATTTTTCAAAAATTAAATAAACTCAGCTAAAAACGTGGTTAAGTATACAATGGCATATGTACATATGTAAAATACTACATTAGACAGCCTCGCGCTACAGCTCAAAACCTAAAAAAGAAATACTCGTGTTTTGGCAGCGTAAAAAAAAATTTAATTTTATGAAGCATGAACTTTTTTGTAAACAATGTATAGTCGAACGGTTTTCCGTCATGCCTTGTCAAATTTGGTTTGGAGACAAACCGGTTTCGGCGATGTGCCACCTTCAGTGTCATTTTTCGTTCTCCTAATGGACGAATATGTTTTAATTGGAAAATGAAAAAATATGACTTACTAAGTTGGGGGGTGCTCTATCTTTTGGTCGTATGACCGACTTCCGGTTCCAACGGGAAGTGGGTTAAACAGATCGGAAGTGCATTATTAAAACCGGAAGTCTATTCCGGAAAAAAATTTCTGACAAAAGTTATGTATTTTCGTCCACAGAATCCGAATCTGTGATAAAAAAACATGATTCCAAATCTGAGGTCCAATGGCAAAAAATTCGCATAGACTTTGGAACTTGGACAAATAAAAAACCACTGCACATAAAAAAACAATTATTATAATATTGGATGTAATTAGTGCTTTGCTCCCTCTACCCGGAATTGCCACGGACGAAGGTAATGCGGTCGACGGTTAACCGCTGTCAAAATTAAAACTCACAAAGGCATATGAAATGGCTCATAATTGCGGCGGCAGCGTTTTGCAACAAATGATGTATTTCTTTGTTTAATAATTTGAATTTAATTGTTCAACAGGTGACAACTCTTTTCGAAAAAGTACACACATCTACAGGCCAAGCGCTTTAATTCGACATCCCATTTTTGAAAATCGAGCGAACGGTGCAGATTTTATGTCCTGCACAAAAAATCTCTTCGCGTATTATACATATATATATGTGGATAGATAAATAAACTTTAAATAATATGCTTACTGCTTACTTATTGCTTACTTGTAATCGGCAAGGTATATGTATAGTCGCCGTATGTGTAATTACTAGTATTCATTGAATACAAAGAGAGCCGGTTATCAAAGTAAGCAAAAATTTTGCTGGGAACTTTTATCAAAACGGTAGTTGAGGGTTGATTGTGTTCTTTCTAATTTACCGCATATACACATGTGCATACATGCATATGTACATACATATTAACATATTGAGCATGACGCAGCCATTTTCATATTATTCAAATTCAATACAATATCTTTTGGTTTATTCATAAAATTAACAATGTAACAATCTGATAAAAAGCCGCTCACAATAAATAAGAAATTAACAAGCCAGCATGACAAGGGTTCTTTAATGCAAACAATAACTGCCACTGCGTTATTGTATTTTGGGCTTTACTTATTTAGACGCTGTGGTTTGATAAACATATTGTAATAATATGTTATTTATCTTATCAATTTAATCGAACTAAAATTTTTAAACATCTGAATCAGAACAAGTAAAGAAGTAAAAGTTCGAAACCGAAGTTTATATACCCGGCGGAGGTATCAAATATCGTCGTTTCAACTTTCTCTAAACTATATTTGCATGATAATCAGGAGGTTTTTCCCTAATTCAAACTTTTTCGATAATATGAATAATGAATTAATAAAATAATGAAATTAATTAATGAAATAATTGAACCAAGTTTGGTAGAAATCTACAAAGTTGTTACCGAGATACACCTTCTAGTCATAAAGTGTGCAGTGCTACGCCGAATTCCTAGAAGTCTGTAGCAGTCCTATTTATTGTTAAGAGATTGTTGTAACTATTAACTTGGAGTAAATTAGCGTCATCAGTTATTGAAGTATCGGAGTTTTCGGATGTCTGAAATTTACCGTTACACGGGAAGTGGATGTAATTTTAGTCCGATTTAAATAATTTTCCACAAATTGCTTTTTCGTATCAAGGTTATTAAGTGCACCGAGTTCGGTACAAATTGTAATTATGGATTTCGAGTAAATAAGCTTCCGTAGTTACTTTTTTGCCGCATTTTCGTGTTTCTGTAAATTACCGTTATACGGGATGTGGGCGTGGTTATTTTCCGATTTCAAATATTTTCAACACATTTCTTAGATAGGCCTAACGCAAGGCTCGTATCGAGTATGGGAAGGATTGGTGAAGCGACTACTGAGATACAGCATTTCATCATAAGTGGGCGGGGTCACGCCCATTTTCCAAAAATTTCATAATAATACTATTTCTTACCAAAATTCGACTTCACATACTAACTGTCAACAATTTGGATCCAATATTTACTGAATTATTGCATTTTTTGCATTTTTCGAAAATACCGTTATATGGGAAGTGGGTGTGGTTACAGTCCGATTTCGCCCATTTTCAATACCAACCTACCTCATATATCAATTTTTGCTCGAGCTTTTTTGTGTACACGGATGGAAGCACGGACGGACAGACAGACATGGCTTAATCGACTGCTCTATATATCTATATCTATCTCGACTCGTTTTGGCTGTTACAAACAACCGTTATGCGAACAAAGTTAATATACCCTTGTGCACAAGTGCGATCGGGTGTAAAAATAATTATTTTATTTGTTGTTGTTTTTTCTTATATGTAGAACCTTTACTTGTTGTCTTTATCATATGTATATCTGTGTCTTTGTTGTTTTTCCTTACATGCAGAAGTAGTATTTGTTGTTGTTTTTTCTTATATGGTAAAAATGTTTGTCTTTAACGTTACAGTCGTACGTATATTTCTGTTTATATTTCTGAAACGATGTGTAAAAACCGAAAGTTTTTCATTTATCCTGGTAATTAGCCCCAAAAGCTACATTTTAGTTATACACAGACACTAGTTTCCTATCTTTTGTTGTTTTAAATATAAATGTTTTAGCTAGTCATTAATGTTACATTTTTTGGAAGTAAGTTATATATAACATGACACGTAAGGAAAACTTGGCGAATCCTGTAAAGTTAAAAATTAAACTAAAGTATTTTAATAAAGATCAAGGCTCAAAGAAAGTATTAAACCATTAACTTTTGGATAATACATGTTTATAACAAATCTATAAACAGAAATATGTAGTCTTTAACATTACTTACCATACTTGACTACATTTTCCATTTTGATTACATGCGAAGCTCAAGAGAAACGAACGCGCACCGCATAGATTGGATGTCAATCGGCACTTGTTTCTAGATGCGTTATGAAACACATAAATATATAAAAAAAAAAATGTATCAAGCGTTGACGGGTTAGTCAAAGAAATATTTTTTTTTCTCTCGTTCCTTGTTCCCATCTCTGCATCTATTTATCGGATAGCAAACAAACATAACTTAAACATGCTCCTCATACGTTTGAACAAACTGCAAAAATTTCATCAAAATCAGTCCAGTGGTTTTTGAGTAAATGCGTTAAATCAATTTGCAACTTTACTTTATGTGTATAAAGATTTGTCTTAATACTTTAACATCTGGCCACCTTATTTAACATGTGCACTCAATGAATTTCACAAATATTTCGCAGCGAACATTAAGCTGGCCACCCTAACAGATGGTGTGCAAACAGCTGATTGTGTAGTTTGTTTTCTTGCTTGTGTGCTCGCTGCTGCTGCCGATGGTGGATTTTAGTATTTTATTCACATTGAATTGCAGTTATTTAAAGTGAAATGTTAATTAAAATACAGTTTATTGTTTAAAGTGAAGTATAAAAGTGGAGTATGTTAAGAAAAGTTCCGTCAATTGTGATACTAGGCTCCACTGGTACGGGGAAAACAAAGTTGTCACTGGAATTGGCACAACGTTTCGGCGGCGAAATAATCAGCGCTGATTCGATGCAGGTATGTTCAATGGTAGTGGATGTAAGGCAGGGTTGTTGCATTTTCAAAATTTTGTTTTAATATAATGGTTTAGTATGAAATACATAAAATTCATTGAATACATATATGCAATTAACAAACGAAATTGATTAGGTGTGTTAATTTTTAGTATAAGGATTGGAAACTGTATAAATAATTTATGAACGGAATAAATATAAGTACAAATCCTACATACTATTTATTATAAACAGGAAACGAAAATAACAATAAAATACAAAGATTTTTATTTTTATATCATTGCGCAACTGTAATTTTTTGATTTTATTCTGGTTTTTTTCTAACCTAATAAAACATCTTGGATTTTACGCGATAGAGAAAATCCGAGATGTTTTTTGAGATTAAAAAAAATACACACGTGATGGGGCAAAACGGACTTCAGATTCGTGTTCAGCGACCCCAAAAACATATAACAGTCTAGGTTTGGTCAAAGGAACCTTTCATCGATTTTTTTTGTGGACCAGTGAAATTAAAAAATTTCGAATTTTTTGTGAGGTTATCGATTTTGCTGCGCCTCTTTCGGACTTAGCACGTTAAACCTTTTTGAGGCTTTATACTTTTAATTTCTTTTGCTTCCTGTATCAAAATATGAATTTTCACAAAAATTGGACTAAGCAATTTTTCACTTTTAGCTAGCAATACATACATACATACAGTGACGGGCAATACTGTAACATGGTGTAACACTTTTTATTTCTGCCACAGCTATATTTCCAAGTTCTAACGACTTTCATCCTTTTATTGCATATTCTTGTTGGTACACTTCTACTCCCTTTCTCATATCGATTTGGAGTCAATCCAACAATAATAAAAAAACCAGCAGCCAAAAATGTAAATTAAGGCAAATGTTACAGTTTTGCACTCACTCTCAGTTTTGCATTTTACAGTTATCTTTTACTTAGTTGGAAGTCAGATGACTTTTATCTGTACTGCAATTTCTTCAAGAAGAGATCACCAGTAAATAATATGGTTAATCAGGAACTACAAATGTAAATATGTAATAGATTTACTGCGCAAAGGTGGGACAGCAGGGAAAGTGGCACAAAATTGTGAAGTTTGCCCCATGAAAATGTTAAGACTGGGAAAAAATATAGCCTAAAGTGTTTCCAAAGACAAAAGACGTCTGTCAAAATATATTACGGTTCGATATGTTGTCGACTTATTTAGTAGCAAGTAGCGATGAAGCCACTATTACAGAAGCACTTAAGGTATTAAACTTTAATGCAAATCCGTAGAAAGCGGGGCGAAGAATACCCAAATTGAGCGCAAAGGCATCATATAAGAAGAAAAAAGCAAATTTGATCAAAATACATGTGCGAGTGTGGCAACATTTTGCTGTATCGCACGAAAACCGGACCGTTGCCTATTGGGGTATGTAAGGCCTTACAGAATGCATTAAAAAACACATGTTTAAGTTTCAATTGAAGGTTATTTGGTCTGATAAGACTAAATTAATCGCTTTCAATCAGATGACCGGTCATCGTATTGGACGAAAGACCCAAATTAGGCCGAAGCTCATCATGTAAAGCAAACTGTGAACCATAGTGGCCGGTCTATAATAGTTTGGGGTTGTATTTCAAAAATTTTGTGGGTCCATTAGTACGCATTATGCGTAAGGAACAGTATCTGTTCATATTTCAACAAAATTTGCAAGATGTAGTCAAAGTCAAAAAATAAGAGTTTCTGCAGAAAAATCATCCAAAACACACGACACATGTTTGCAAAAACTGGATACAAAAGCAAAAATTTGTTAATTTGAAATGACGTCCACTATTCGCGGACATGAATCTCATCGAGAATTTGCGAAATCAACTAAAAGCACAGCTTACTAAGTATCCAAGTCCGTTCGATGGAGAACATGAGCTGTGAAAGCAAACTAAGGATATATGCCTCCAGAATTTTAACAGAGATACAAATAAGGTATGCCAAATCGCATCCAGGAAATAAAAAAAGCAAAATGGTACTGAACATTGTATTAATAGTTATTATAGTTATTTTTTTCGTGAAAGTTATTAAAAATATATGAGTGCAAAACTGTAACATTTGTATTTATTGACATTTTTGCCTGCTGGTCTTATTATTGTTGTTGGATTGACTTCAAATCATCATGATAGAGGAAGTACAGGTGTACCAATAAGAATATACAAGAAAAGTATGAAAGTCGTTAGAACTTGGAAGTATAGCGATGGCTGAAATAAAAAGTGTGGCACCATGTTACAGTTTTGCCCGTCACTGTACGCACAATGCAGCGAACAAAGGTGGCGCTATCCGACATACCGCTACTTTGGTTTTGCCGATTCTGACAATTCTGCTCTACAAGTAAACCATGCCTCAGAAACTTTAAATGCACTGAAATTCACCGATACTTGCACAAAAATCACAATTTTTTCCTTATAAATTCTTATTGTAAATTATATATTTTTACAATTTAGCACAATTAGCGCGTTTACTGTCGAAAAATTTTATATTAAGACAATTTGGTCTTCTGACATTTTCTTTTAACATCCAATTCGGCTTTGTTTACTTGTGGTATACAAATGTCATCGCCGCCAAGACGGCGCAATCTTGTATTCCATCATTCTTGATACAGAAAAAAAAATAATAATAATGTACCCAAGAACGATAGAATACAAGATTGCGCATTCCCGCAGAATGACATTTGTGGCAACGGGTAAACAAAGAATATGGCGAAGAACAATGAGTTGACAGTTGTGAATTTGCAGTGAGAAAACGTGTTTTCTTCTCGATTCACCAATTTCTCAAGCCATCTTTGAATATAGAAAATTAAGCACTACGTTAACAAAAAATAATAAAAGAACCACTCTTGAAATGTGTTCAAAAGAATAGGTCTTATTAATTAACTATTCAGAATTGTTGTGTTTATATATATAATATAATATCTTGTCGCAGCGCATGTTTTCCTGCAGAATTTGTGGTATTTCAACGTTTTCAACTTAACATGTCGTGTTTAAAAGTGGTCCGTAAAGTGCTTCATAGATTTTTCACTTGAAAGTACACAATACGTTTGCACTTGTTTCTAAACAAAAAGTTTGTTTACGTATTGCCATAAATCTCAAAGTCGGCAAAACCAAAGTAGCGGTTTCGGGAATGCGCCACCTTCAGTTCATTTCACCATGTAATGTACCTATTCAAGTCTGGCAATGTGTACATCCGAATTTACATGTTCGTGGACTTTTAACCAACCACTTATGTGATTTTAATAGTTTTGCTGAGGATTGAAACTAAAGACGAACTTTCCTATAAACTTTGTGTTCATTTATTAAACTTTTATTGAAGCAGCACTGAAACCAAATTTATGATTAGTAAAACGTTTAGATAGGACTCAAAAATGTAGGACTTCGCAGTTAAAATAGTTAACTCGATATATGTACCTAGTTTGATGTGTTTCACAATTTCGGAATCCCCTTTTTTAAAGATGCATTTATTTTTAACTAGGCATTCGGTTCAAAAATACCCTATCTCAACATATTTTCGGTGGGGGTAGGGCGTTTCTGAACTAAATTCTGAGATAGGGCGTTCTTCAGCCAAATTATGAAGTATAGAAATCTTGAAAAGTTTTCTAATATAGGGCGTTTTCAAACTGGCTGTCGAGATACTTCGATCTTCCACTCAGCCGTCGATATTTACTATTCGCATGCCCAAAGAATAAAACAATTTAAATGACACATTCTATTAAACTAAATTATTTTGAATTAATTAAAAAATTTCCTCATTCATTTACGCGTGCTAAACTGGTTTGTTTAAAACCTTCCTGTTGAGTATCTCGCTCGTTCATTTCGCAATAAAATATCAACATAACAAAACACTTCACAATTTTTATTTAAACTGTCAAATAACTCAATAAAGAAATAATACGGATAGCACAAAGCAACAGACTGATTAAGGTTGTGCTAAAGCAACAAACCACAACAAACAAGGAAGTGTTTTTAATGGAATTATATCGATAATATGACAATTTATAAAACTAGACTAGACTACATACTGCTGGTATATGGCGCAGAAGCATGGACAATGACAACATCCGATGAGGCGGCTCTTGGGGTGTTTGAGAGAAAGATTTTGCGGAAGATTTACGGGCCTTTACGCGTTGGCGACGGCGAGTACCGCAGACGATGGAACGATGAGCTGTATGAGCTTTACAACGACATAGACATAGTGCAGCGAATTAAAATACAGCGGCTCCGCTGGCTTGGCCATGTCGTTCGAATGGACACCGACGCTCCAGCTCTGAAAGTATTCAACTCGGAACCCGCTGGTGGTAGCAGAGGAAGAGGGAGGCCCCCACTGCGATGGAAAGATCAGGTGGAGAAGGACTTGGCTTCACTTGGCGTTTCCAATTGGCGTCAGTTGGCACAGAGGAGAAACGACTGGCGTGCTTTGCTGAACTCGGCCAAAATCGCTTAGGCGGTTACAGCGCCAAAAAAGAAGAAGACTACATACTTAAATATACTCGTACTATATATTATCATACTTATGTACATACTTATGTATGTATGTATGTACATGTGTAGGTGTGCTTGTATGAATAAAATGGTTTATAAATTTTTTGTCTTTATAGATTCTGTCAAATATGCACATAAATTTCGGACAGAATTCGTCTGATTAACTGATTTGCAAAAGTTTTTTAAATGTATATTAGAAATATGTTAGATAGGCACTTAGAGTAAAATTAATTTCATATATTGAAAAACTATGCATAAAAAATTTGAAAAAATTAATATGTACGTACATGTATGTATATGTATATGTGGTAGCTAGGGACAAAACGATACTGTAAATACAAGTACATACTCGATACTTTTCGTCTGATACGAAGTAATATTGGTATCGATACCTTTGAAGAAGAATACCTCGGCAGAAAGTACTTGTATCGAATGCCGATTCAGTGACAATTTTATTCCCGGACTTTTATTTTTTAATCTAATCATTATTGTGAATAGTTAAAATTTTTTGGCAGTTTAGTGGCCAATGAAAAGAAAGTCCTAAAAAGAAAGATCTATTATCATCTCATTAACATATCGCTGGCTTAAATTGAAAAGTTGAAGAAAGTTGAAGTTGAAAGAAAAGTTGAAAAGTTGCACTTTTTCTGAAAACTCATATTTGGGTTTAGGAAGCATGGTAAATTAAAAACGCAACGTCTTTAAAAGGATTATCTAACGTGCTTGTTTTATATTCAATTAAAGCCAAATTTACTAAGTCCAAAAGAGGAACAGAAAAATATATAAGCTCACACAAAAGTCTAAATCATTTAATTTGCAACAGAACCTTTTGAAAAATTCTTGAAGGAAATGTTTTGACAAATTTTTTCCTCCCCTGTAAATTTTCTACAAATGGACTTAGCAACTTTTCACTCTAAGCTATAGTATTGTCCTCCAAAATTTATCAACATGATCATTTCTTTAAGAAATATACCATTGTTCATCTGCAAAAATGCTGTTAAACTGTTGTTAATTAATTAATTTGTATGAAATAAATTAAAAAAAAATTGTTTTTGATCTCAATTGCTTTCTCTTTGTACAAAATAAATATTTATGTATAACAAATAAAATAGTACGTATATAAAAAAAAAAGAAAATTATGTTAACTAAATTCTGTGGACTTTTTAAAAAACAACTTATTGGACTTTGATCGATATAAGTAGGTATCGATATTTTTAGCCCGATACTTAGTAGGTATCGATAATTTCTTTCGATGCTACTTCCAAGTATAGGTACCTTCCATGGTATCGTTTTATCCCTAGAGGTATCTCAGACCACTTTTAAAATAGGTCCACAAGTCAGATTAGAGGCAAAGTGGGTGGCAAAAGGACTGCGCTACAATCACAATACTTAACATTTTTTACGAATTGGTCTAAAATGAGTGAAGGAGTTGGAGCCAATATTTATAAGCATCGGGACTACTTTTGACTTTTTAATTTTATTTTTATTTTTTTAATTTGTCCCAGGCGAATTGACACAGGTGATGTTACCAGAGCAGCTGATTTTAAGGCGAACCGTGCTGATTGTCAAATTTATGTGTTTTCTGTAAATTTTTTGTATTCTGATTGTAGTCGTGCACCTGCCGATATCAGCTTGTATGAAATCGCCTTGATTTTGTCACACAAATGTCACGTCACGTCACATTGGAAATGTCCATATTCAGTATATTCTACGCAGCTTTCTTTTTTGGCGCATAGCGTTTCGTTTACATATTTTTTGCCTTCTAAGCATACAAATTCTTCAGCATTTACACTAGTAAAAAAAAAAACAAAGTTTAGAAGTCAATTGCGTACAGTAAATCAATTTTTGTGCTTTTTATTTAAATATGCTGTACTTTCTACTCTTTACAGGTGTACGCTAATCTGGACATAGCTACTGCCAAAGCTACGAAGGAAGAACAGTCTCGAGCTAAGCATCATCTTTTAGATGTAGCCACCCCCAATGAACCATTCACAGTGGTGCACTTTCGTAATGCTGCGTTGCCAATTGTATCCTTTTTGAAAAGCCTTACAA